GTTTTTTATGATCCTTAGAAGAATATAGCGGTGAACCAAAAAAGGTATAGGAACATAATAAGACCAACTAGGCAACCACAGTTATAAAAAGTATAGAGTTATGGAGTATAGACCATCCTGTGACCAGGAAACAGGTTCAAGAGATGGGCTTTTTCAAAGGCAAATTAGTAGAGCAGATAAATTTACATACTTAAAAAGTATCTTATGTTTCACTTGCAAGAAAACCATGTTGCACTATGAACATGACTTAAAATGACACCCACATGAACATAATACGACGAACACAACATGAAAACAATTCAGTTATACTTCGTTTCAGAAATTAAGCAGTTCAACATATATGTTAAGATGATGCATTTATTAAGTCTCAAGTAAACCAGACTATGAAACACCTCCTTTTGAAGCTCCTCGCGTCTCTGAATGGATAGCTCCAACTGCTCTTTCACCTAGTCAAACATAATAAAGTGGATGAGAAAGAATGAAACAGCATGATAAGCAATTTGCTGCTTGTTTCACCTGGCCGCGATAATCATCGCTAGAATTTGATGATAAGTCTCTGCTTTGGCGATCACTGAAACCAGCACCGCTGAGGTTAAGCAAAATAAAATTAACACTTCTTCCAGAGTTTACAAGTTTTCTCAAGATAATGCTAACAACACAGTGAAGCTGCATTATAATTTTAAATGAACTAAATTCCTAAGAGACAATGTATTGGAAAGAGGCAAGATGAAGCTAACTACTCAAACTGTATCCAGCATCAATGTTCAAATTGGAGGTGATATAGGGTCAGGCAAGGTCAAAGTACCTCTGAAACTGGACCTGTACCTGACAAGAAAATGGGTAGATATTCGACTCTAACCTGACTATTTGATGTTTGGACACATGCATGTTCAGATCGAGAAAAAATATCTTATTTTGGGCCTGGTCCAAAACCAAAATAGTCCAATCAATAAGACTGAATTAGTAAACCATAATTCAAAAATCACATTTAGAAGGACGAAGCAGCAGCTTTGAACAAGTTCACATGAAGATTTATTTTGGAAAAAAAAAAAAGGATAGAAAAGCACCAAAAGGAAAATTAATTGTTCTAAGCAAGAAAGAAAAAGAGAACATTATGGAAACCATTAATAAGAACACAGACAAATTAGATATAAGGTAGAAACCCGAAGCTAGCATCACTTAAAAATAATAAGTTTCAACTATCACAGAATCCTACTAGAAAAAGGTAAAGACTATCCAAGTAAAACTAATTTAATTTATTTTGTAGAGTAGATTTGGTATGGGTAAAAAGCTAAACCCAGATCAGGCCCTAAACCTTCAATGGGACTCGGCTTGAAATGATGTTATTCCTATGTAACCTAGGGTCTGAATGGACAGGTTTAAGTAGCAACACTAGTCTTACTGTATATGTATCTTGCAATGCTTCATCGTCCAAACTAAATTTCAGTATAGATTCTTGCTTCACATGCGCTAGACGTGCAGTATCTAAGTTTAAGGATCTTTTTTTTTTTTGTAATATATTCAATTTAAATAATACTCATTATAAAGCTTATAAACTTGAAAGCAATTGCCACCCTTAATCAACATTCATATTTATTTTTTCATTCATTACTTAAAGAAAGAAAAACAAATTTAAACTTTCTTAATTAATTCAATTCAGATGTGTAAACTAGAAAGTCATGCCAACAAAATCAGATGACTACTATATTAGCCTGTTGAGAATTATATGCTCGATTGACAATATTTAGTTCAAGTACTGAAATTATAGAACTAAAAGTTGATCGCTGTTACATGTGAGAAATATAGTCACACTGCATCTGGACTTTCACCAAAGATTCCCTTTGTTAATATGCATACTGTCTCATAGCAGGTAAAATGACATGTAAACCAAATAACTATTGATGTCAAAAGGTCCCAGAGATTACCCATGTCGCTGTCTTGGCTGTTGCTCCTTATCTAGTTCTTTGTCTATGTCATGATCTTTATTTTTGTCCAGATCTCTATCACCGTTCCAGTCCATATCACGGTCCGCTTCCCGATCTCGATTACGCTCCCATGCACGTTCATGATCATCATCTTCTCGATCTCGATCTCGATCCAAAGAATGTGCTCTTGCTCGATCAAAGTCACGTCCACGCTCAAAATCTGTTTCTCTTTCTCTTTGCCTATCACGATCTCGAAACCGCTCATTGCTCCGATCTAGATAGTGGTCTCTGTCCTGTATATGATCCCTTTCTCTTTCCCTGCCCCTCTCCCAATCATCATCTCTATCAGCATTTCGATGAAAATTTTCACGTTGAAAATTTGGCCTCCCACCTCTTGTATGAACTTCATTAACTCTTACGGCTCTTCCTCCAATTTTCTGGTTAAAGAATTTGTAACATCATAGGCAATCAATAATACAAAACAATGTATGTTTTCATGTCAACATAAGACTCACATAAAGGTACAAAATAAAAGTAATTAAATGTGCATGGAAAGAGAAGCAAGAATCATACCCTGCCATTCATGTCCATAATAGCATCAACAGCTGATCTAGGGTTTCTAAATGTGACAAACCCATAGCATTTCCCTCCAACTTGTCGATCATTTATTATCTGCAGAGATGAAGGGTTGGACAAGATGAAGAATTTTAGCTACATGGAAGAGTTTTTTGCTGCTTAGCTTTTGTCCTAAATGATTTCATGGAAAAAAGTATTAGCAATGCCAAAATTACATATAAAAGTCTGATGTATGACCATTGCTCTCACTAATATTGATTCACAAGAGGAAGGTAATGGGGAATATAACAAGTTGACTTGACCAGCTAAACACAAACCTTTCTTCAACTGACACAATGTTTCTTAGGCTTCACATGTGTTCAGTTTCTAGAGTGTAAACATAACCCCAAGATAAGACAAAAAGATGAGGCAACAGAAACTAAAGCAAACTGGCTGCCCAAGATGCCATAAGACTGGTTTTTTTTGCAGTGACAACCAAAACCACCTTTCAGGTAGGTGTTATTAAGTAGAAAAAGTCAGAATGAGGAATGCAGAGCCAACACAGATTAGTGTAGAAAACCAAAACAGTTACATCATGAATAAAATAATTTCAAAGAGCTGGATGCTTTAATATTTATGAGGACAGGCATATAGGGGTTCATATAGGAAGAACAAATTAAGGGGCAAAAGTTGAAAAACAAAAAGGAGAGAATTTCCACAATGTAAGAGGTCGAAATCATCTTCCAAAAAGTAAAAACCAACATTCATGTGTAACTAGGAGTTGAAGATATAGCCAAGTTCTTCATGTTGCAAATCCCACATTACGTAGCAGCAATAAAATAGGAATCCATTCATCAGCAAAATGCTATATCCTTGTTAAGCTTCACACCTTTTTATCCCAATGATGTCCACATAAAAATATGCACAAAAAAAAGTGGATTAATTTCACATACATTAGGTCATTCCATAGCCTCATACAATGAAAGACATCACTTCTAAAGAACAAAATTCACTAGTCAACTAGTAGCATAAAAATCAAACAACAGTTAATGACAATCAACATACTACTGTAAAACAAACACCTTTCTTTCACTTTAATATCAATTTCAGCTGCAACATAGCTCTTATTATTAAAAAAATCTTTTCTGTTGAGGAAACTATATCCACTTGAGGTAACTCTTGAATGTTAACAGTTAAAGTTTATCACAATCAACTTGACATTGAGGATTAATTCATCCATGAAGATTCTGGAACTCAAAGCTGCAACTGCCATCCTTATAATGGCTATAACCTCCAGTAGATGCTCTGCCACTTGCAATATATATGTTTGTCATTCAAAATACTTTTGTGTTTGGTAAACAAACTATCTACTTGAAGCGATTTAGACTTTTGATAGGCAACACTCATCACGATCACAATGACACACTGGGATTTCTCATTTCATCCGTTTAAGAACCTAGGACTCAGATTCGCTGCCACCAAAATTCATCCTCTCCAGATGCTCATTTCAGGGTGACATTCTACTGTTTGCAAAATATAATTATTTTTCATTCAGAAAAAGAAAAAGATTCTTCTTGAAGCAACTACGAATTCTGATAGGTAAAGAAAAATTACGACCAGAATAGCATTCCGGACTTTCTCAGTTCATGCAGCAAAGAACCTAGAGAATCAAATCCGTTGCCACCAATCTCATCCTCCCTAGAATCATGGCTCCAGGTGCTGATCCCATTGAGAATCTAGGGGTTTGGAGAAAATTGACATCAAGCCATCGCAAGTACATCCAAACCCTAAAACAACGATGTGCCGTTCGACGCCCAACAGAATCAACCAAAGACGAGAGAAATGAAGATAGAAGGTACGGCGAAGATAAGGTAGGAGACGGACCTTGACGTCGACGATGGCGCCGTAGAGATCGAACGCACGGCGGAGGTCCTCCTGGGTGCAGTCGTAAGGGAGACCCCCTACGTAGATGGATTTATCATCATCCAACGTCATCGCCACCACTCGCCGAAGCCGTCAACTGCTGCTCCTTCTTCCGCTCTCCTCTCTTCTTGAGCTGGGAAGTAAAACGGCCACAGGTAATCCGATCGCCCCTTCAACGAGCGTGTAAGAGACGACGATACTTTTGGAGTGAACCGGAGAAGTTGCGGGCCGACGTGGTTAGGGCTGTCGACATATCGTCCTTTGGGTTTTATGGGCCCGAAGCTTCCTTGTTATTCTCGGATGTCATCAGGGCCGTCCATTTAATCAGCGGAGAGGATCGTATTTTAGTAAGCCGTTACTTCAGTGACGTACACCTGGAACTCATAGGACCCACTTTTCAACCCAGACAATATAGTGAGCCCGGCGATGCAATGACTACGATGGGGCCCAGTCAATTGCGGTCGTCCGGTCGGGTTCAAAGTTTTTGAAACGGCAAGGGAGGGCCGCTGTTGATTCTGCCAATTAATGACGTGGCAGGACAAAATTAAAGGAGCCAACGGCTCCTTGCAGGGAGTCGACCGTTTTGTCACACAACATCCATCGCATCTCCTCACCATCACACTGACGCTCCTCCCCATTTCTACCTAATCCCCCCCCTTCTCTCTCGTTCTTCTCGTTTGACTCTGCATTGGAAGTCTGCTCGCAGAGTTCCGTGGAGAGGGATGGCGACAACGGCAACAATAGCAAGCAAGATGGGGTTCACGGAGGAAGAGATGGCCGTCGATGAAGGCCTTGGCTACCCGAAGGCTTACGCGAAGCTTTGCAGGAGCCCCAGCGTGCTCAGCGCCTACGCCCAGGGACCCCCTTTTGCGTTCCTTCCTTACACCTTGCAGCCCCAGGAGGTAAATCCCTTCTCGCCTCCCCTCCCCCTTTGGTGTGTGTTTGTGCACGCATTTCGTCGTCACTGGTGCATTCCGTAGTCTAAACGGGTTCTACGGGCATCATCTTAACAGGCTCTGAGAGCGAGGGACTGGAGTCAGATGTTCCCGGTCACTGATCCAGAGGCGATTCCTTCTGTTAATCCTAGAGGCTTCGTCAATCTCCTTTGGAAGCAGCTTGACCATCTTGGGTAAGCTCACTGGGGAGTTCTTAAGGTCTGGAACACTGTAAGCTAACTATATGATGTGTTCTAATTCGTTTGTTGTGATTTCAGGAATGCTGGATTTGATCCTGCATTGTTTCGAGTAGACACATACGGCAATGTTCTATACCTGCATGCGGATTCGGCTTCGCCACTTGCGTGGGATATCGATCACTGGTTTCCTTGTTCGAGTATAGCTCTAACCAACCGAGTTTTGGTTCCTTGTGCTCCTCCTTGGAATGAATCTTTGAGCAAATTGTTCTGTCAATATGTAGGAGGAGGAAGAACGGTTCCAAGCAATCTAAGGCTGCTGCAATGGCAAGTGTGGAAGAAGAAGCACAACAAGCTGGAGTTTCTCATCCCATGGTGGGATCTCCAATTGGGCATCTCTGTGAACCAGTTCCTCTCGATTTTTGCTTCTCGGAACTCGGATTTCAGGTTAGTAGGACTTTCTATGTATCCATTTGTTGATATAAAGATTGCAGCATCCAAAAATTTCAGATTTCGCATGGAAAGCGATCTCAATGAATGACACTTCCTGCCTCAGGAGTAGAGCATTTTCTTATCTGTTCTGCGATGGAGGAAGCGAGGAGCTAAACGCACTGCAGGCTGTCGACTCCCATCATTTTCCGCAGCATTTCATCGAGATGGAGCGACAAGTTGGGCTTGGTCCTGCTTCCATTGTCTCATCAAGAAGAAGTTTTGATGCGTCAGTGCTGAGACCCATTGATGCAAATAGACATCTGAGGCACAACTATCCTCTAATTGGTCAGTGCTCGTGCTTGCTGCTATCTCTCCTCTTCTGCACAAATCTGATTCAAAGCTTATGATCATTGCAGCTGCAAGGAAATTCACCAGAGAAGAAGAAGATGCTCATAGCATGGCAACACACAGCTCTAAACCCCTTGTCTCGAAGGAAAACACTAGCCCTGATATGGATACTTGCGATAGCAACCCTTATTTGTCCATAGCAATGGCCAGAGACTCACTGAGGCAGAGAGAAGAGGCTAAGAAAAAACAAGCTGAGATAAGTCGCTTGGAAGATGAGCTGAACGAGTTGAAGCAGAAGAACGAAGAAGACCGGGTTGCTCTTCAGGAGCTGGAAACTCTTCTCGTCAAACGGAGACGAAGAGTCGAGAAATGTCGGAGGCTCGCGGAGGCACAGTCTTCATACAAGGCTTTACTGGAGAAGATGATTCGGGATGCCATGCACCAGTAAGATCCAGCTGACCCAAACTGCAGCTTCCATTGCTCAGTAGGAGATATCATCGTAAAATAATAGATACCTTCTTTGTGGTGTTGTGCAGGAGCGTTGTCTACAAGGAGCAGGTTAGGCTGAACCAGACTGCAACAAGTGCTCTAATGGCAAGATTGGAGGCGCAGAGAGCACTGTGTGATTCCTCAGAGAAAGAACTCCGTCGGAAATTTAAGCAAAGAGATGAGATTGAGAAACAGATAAGGCCTGTGTGGGAGCTAAGAAAAAGATCACGTATGGATGAGACCCTTTTGGAGGAAGGGCGCAACGAAAGCATTCGACTGTTATGCACAAGGAGGACAAGGACTACTCCTCTAACGAAGGAGCTGAGGAAGTTTCTAGAGGAAGAGCAGAAGGCTTCTGAAGCTGGTCTATCTCTTGGTGAAGATGGAGGAGAAGAGACAGAGGAAAGTGCAACGACTGGCAGTTCACAAAAGGAGAAGTCTGCTGTTCCTCAGAGCCAGAAGAACGAGGAAGCAGAAGAGCATAGAAGTGTGATCGATGAGAAGCTTAAGCAATTAGCAACAAGTGATGGACATTTGAGCCAGACTAGTGAATCAGAGCAGCAAAGTTTCTTGCATCGAGGCTCTCAAGAAGAAGGATATAAGGCATCCGGAGCTGGGAATGATATCATGTTGCTCAATGACAAGCCCAGGGACGTAGCAGCAGAAGAGAAAGTAAAGCCTCCTATACTGAAGATAAAGATCCCAAAACCTCGAAGCCCTCGCAAAGAAGAAGAAGAAGAAGAAGATGGTGATGATGGGAACAACAATCAAATCGGGAAACGAAATGTAGATAAATGGCTCGAAATCCTTTTGGATGGCTTTGAGGAAGGCTCACCCCAAAAGAAGCCCGATGCTCCAGAAGATAACCTGGATGAATCTGTCTGCAAGATGAACTCCGCTCACCCGCATAAACAAATCAAATTCTTAAGGCTCAAGCCATTAGAAGAAAAAGCAGGTACTGCTCGAAACCCAATCACTGAGCAAAAAACCAATTCAAGCAAGAGCAGACATGGCGAGGATAGTAGTAATGCCAGCAAAGAGGAGGTTACCGGAAGTAGGAAGAGCTTTGAGGTGAAGGATCCAAGGTCTGAGAGCAGCAGGGGTTTTCGGTCACTGCCATCATCACCTTCAATGATACTGGGAATGAGAAGGGGTGTGGACTGCATAGGGAGGAAGCCTCAGGTGATGGGTGATGATAACAATGGCAACGAGAGTGTTGTATCCACAAACAGCAGCAAGTTCATCAAGTCCTGCAGCAGAGCAATCAAGAGAGCCATGAACATATAAGATTGTGCCATGCAATCCATGTCTCGGAATTGTTTATTCGTTTTACTTTCCTATTTATAATTGTTTCGTTCAGTTTATTTCCTATCAAACCGCTATTGTTTGGTTGTGTTGGAACTTTGTGTGTTTTTGTTTAGTGAGTTAATAGTGGAGGGTGGATGGCTCTCTGATATGTATGACTGCTTGTTGTAACGGAATGAATGTGGATTAGTGCAATTTGACATTGTTCTGTATAGCTCAATTTTGATAGAAGATGATATAAACAAACATAGAAGGATAATTTTATATTTTTATATATTTTAATCTTTAATTAATTTATAATTTGAGAATTAATATTTAAGTGTTTTCTGCGCGTTCCCTCAACTTTTTTACCTGTTACTTCACTTTTATCTATTCTAATGAAACACAATACGGAAATACTATTATTGTTTATATATAAAATTTAAAAATTATTATAGATGATTTGGCTTTAATAGATCATCTCGTAAGTGATGAAAAAATTATTGTTCCTCGATCCTACGACATCAATCACTATTTGAAAAACTATTTCACAATCTTAAATCTTTTAAAACTCAAAGTATTTGATTATTTATGTTTTCTGTGACTATACTCATATGCTTCAAACAAGTTAACACTAAGATTCACACTTATTGGGTACTCCCTTGAATATAACATCTTATTTTTATTGAGTCTATCATTTTTCTTCCAAAATTTTACTCTTTAAGCAATGTGAGCCACTACAATAACCATCCAGAATATACCTCAAACCCGCTCAAGCACCTCTCACCACATCAACCAGTAATTCTTTTCTAAACTTATATTCCCTTATTACTCCAATTCACCAGCACCTCATCGTCTGCAACTTCTTCATCTACCTCTTCGTTAACTCACTCTATAATACTTAACGAAGCAATGCTCTGAACATCACAAATAATGCCTTTATCTTTTTGTACCGAAGTGCAACTTTATGTTACTAATTTTTACCAATTCTCATACCTTTGGCATAACCCAATAATACCAATAAGCTTAGACATCACGTGATAACACACTCTAAAAATGATGTCTTCAAACTACATCAAATCCTTTATCTTCATGTTACTATAAGCTCTCCACCTGAGTCTACTGAACCCATAATCATCACTTAAGCCAAAAAATCTTTACACTGGCGCAAAGCAATGTATAAGAAATAAAATGCCTTACTCCATAATATCACATGGATCCTTGTACCATCCCATCCCATATAAAATATCATCGGGTATAAATAAATCTTTCGAACTAAGCAAAACCTAAATGGATCTATAGCTAGATACAAAATACGTCTAGTGGCCAAAGAGTTTCATCATTGACCATGTGTTAATTTCATAGAGATTTTTAGTTTAATTATTAAATCAATGATAATTCAACTCATCCAATCACGCTTGACATAATAGTTAACAATTCGACCTTTAGTCTATCGTTTGAGTTTAATAATTCGACTCATTCTAATATTAAACTCGACTCATTCTAATAATTAATATTTATATATTAATAATACTTTCTTAGAGGAAGATATCTTTATGCAACCCCTTGTCTTCATCTATCATTAGTATATAAATCATATTTGTAAACTATAAAAAAGTTATTTATGAACTTCCAAGAGCCTAGTATATCAAACTTAATTTATTTTTTATGTCAATCCACTTTGTTAACTCCAAGTGATATTTTTATTTTTATAATAATAAAAAGATGTATTATATATCTATTAACCTACGTGGATGATAATAACATCATACATAATAAGTTCATAAAGATGAAATACATTAAACAATTAACAGATCAATTGATGATGATTTTTAGAGTACAAGTAATATTCACGTCTTCTGATCATTCTCTATCTAAAAAAATACTTTATGATTAAGAAAATTTTCTCAATACTTATTACCTTAACTACCTTAACGAATAAAATCACCACTTTCACAATTCACATTTCTTATCTTTTATCTGCAAATGAAACTTCGATATCACCTTGGATACCTCGTCCGCCCAACATATCACATAATATCCCGTCTTATTAATATAGCATTTGATGATTTGACCAACCTTCCCATGTTCGCTTAATGTACGATGATTCCATGCAATCATCCTCCTATAAATTAATCACCGCCAACTCTCGTCAATCATCAGAAATCACTATAAAAAATCTTAGTTTTGTTCCACCTTCATTATATTATCAAAAATCACTATAAAAGATCTTAGTTTTGTTCCACCTTCGTTATCAGAAATACTACAAAAGGTCTCAGTTTTGAATCACTATAAAAAATCTCATTATTTGTTCCACCTTCATTATGTTTTCAAAAACCACCATAAAACATCTTAGTTTCGTTCCACCTTATTATCAGAAATACTATAAAAGGTCTTAATTTTTGTTCCACCTTACTCTCTACAAACTTACCAAATATGAGCTCGATAATGGACCCCGATTGGTTCCAAATCCTCAGGGTTGATGTGGTTTGAACAGCCTGGATATCATCTGAGCACAACGTGACCTCCTTCCTTCACATAAACGCACATGAAACCAACAAAAATTCAAGAATCAAAACACAATGGCACAGCAATAGAAAGAAACATTGCATCTTGTCAAAAAAGAATACAATAAATTGAAATATTTCCTCTCCAATTCTTTTCCCCAACTACTACTCAAACAGCAGTACAACAACATATTTAGGTAGGACATTGTATTAAAACCGATAATCCTTCTTATTCCACTACGACGCAAGGCTGAATTACCAAATGCCTCGTAACATCACTAACATCGTTCTTTCTGAGACTACCTGAAACGATTATTGACGAATGGTGGACGTTTCAGACGAACCCTCAGATTCAGGAGATGATTCCTGCTTCAAAGGTGACCCATTCGATGAGTTCTCGCTCGCCGCAGATTCAGCAACAAACCCATCAGTGTCCATCGTCATATCGATTGGAAGCTCTTTCTCCTTCTCTTTCAGTATTTTCTCCTTCTCAAGCTCCTGTTTAGCCAAAGGAGAGAATTGGGAATCCAAGGATCTTGCAGCACCCAACCATGCAAGAACAATCACCAGCAAGATTCCTCCCAGGTACGGAGTCGAGTTTGCTAGAGACCCAAATGACAAAATCATGAACTGCTGGATCAAGGCACCTCCTGATTTTCCCAAGGGGTTGCAGACAACATCAATAGCTGCCTTCCCTTTAACCTATAATTTATAAAAAACAATCAGTAAATTAATTATATTAGTACATGCAATTCGCAAAGAGAAATCAAAGTACAACAAGTTATACAATAAGAGCTCTTATTTAGACAGATGCTGGAAAGTCGAGACAACTTAAGAACAATTAAAACTAAAAAAGGCAAAGTCAAGTGAACTAACTTTAAAATGAGAGCATTTCGGGACTGTTTTTTTAACATTTACTACATCACTATATTAATCCCGATTATTTATCTTCTTGGAATATTAGCCTTATTTAATGGATTAGCTGCACACAAAAAAATTACCAAACAAGACTTATTTATCCTCTTGATTTCTTTCACTTCCTCGAAGAATTTACGCAACATACCTTTACGGAACCAACATGCTATAAAAACTTATTTTGACTGGATATTGAGCACAGGTTAACATCATTATTATACTAGAATAAATGGTTTGGGTAATCAAAACAACTATATGAAGTCCTTAATCTAAAACAGATATTAAACTTAAACAGGAGATACCTGTTCTTGGGAATAATGGATGCTATTAAGAATTTGAGATACCACTCTTTTGCCTCATAAGGAACATAAGGATTCATATGTGGAGCATTTAAGATTTAAGGAAATGAATACCACACAGTAGATAAAAAAAAATAAACAGTAGTAAATAAAATGGAATCTGGGTAGAGTATGAAAGTGATGTACACTTGTCATGCATGTTCTAGAGCACTAAATTGCATGAACAGGCAAATGCATGGAGAGTGTCATCAGCTTGAATTTTATTCAAGCTGATGTCTGCTCATATCATGTGAAGTTCCCTATGACTTCACATGATATGAGCAAACAATACTATATCTAGGATCTACCTAGTGGAGCCACCACATCCATGAGAAGTTTATTCACAAATTTAAACTAACATGTGATGCTTATTCTTTCATGTAGAAGTATCTTGTGAAATCATGAACCTTGAACCAACTTGTACCTACAATCGTCATATCAGAATGCTCGCATTCATTTTGAGTCTATACAGCATAGCATATGCAGATGCTTATACAGAGAGATTGTAGGAGGCATAACACTGACCTTCATCTCTTCATCCAAAGGAATGTATGCCATTTCTTTGCAAGGATCAAACAAGCTGTACTTTGCACTCTTGCTGAAAATATTCTGTAATGCCCCCACATAAACAGCAGCAAGCAGAGGAGTCATACCAAAGCTTCCCAATAAAGGAGTCAACGGTTCACCAAACAATATTAGTGAGAAAAACCCGACTCCTGTGAGAAGCAAAACTGTGGGTGTAATCATGGCTGCCACCCCCCAACCAAATTTCCGGAGTATCAATCTGCCTAGCAACATCATTGTGAATGTTGCAATACCCGTTGCAGTTGAGAAATCGCCCATGAAAGATGAATATTCGTTTGGACTGGGAAACTGCCAAATAAATATACACAAATGTGAGTTTGTCAAAATTAAGTGGTCCTAGCATTGAACAGCAATATGCAATTAGCATGTAAAATAAGGTTACCTGTGCCTTGAGTTTTGATTTCCATGTTACTTCTACCAAGTTTATGCTAATACCATAAGCAACTACCAAGGTGGCTAGATCCCTCACATATCTAGAGGACAGCAAAACTTTCAGGCTCTCATTCATACCTAGTTTTGGCTTCTCCTACACAATGAATAGTTTTTTAATAGTTTGTGTAAATAAAAGTAGTGAAGGATTTGTAACATGTATCATTCATGGAGCATACCTTCTTTTTTTTGCGATCTGATCTCGGAAGGGATGGGTCATTTACAACAAATTTATTCACCCCCCCATAGATTGCACATATTACAAGGCCAAGGAGCACAACAATGCTCATCATTGCTTTCAGTGAAACTGCCCAACCATCAACCCCTGGTCCCAAAGTCTTACGGAGGTTAGAGAAGTATTTTACAGTGCGTCCTGAGAAGATGAGGGCAATATTAGCTCCGAGTCCAAACAATGGGTAGAATTCTTTGGCTTCCTCGACAGTAGTAATCTGCAAAAGG